GCACGCACACACACACACACACACACACACACACACACACACACACACACACACACACACACACACACACACACACACACACACACACACACACCGTTCTGCAGACAATGGATCCCTTTTTTTCTTCACTTCTTCAGGGTGGACCAGGTACCTCGGGGCTGAAGGGTGCCAGTGGAGATTCTGGGCCAAAGGTGAGTTTGCCTGTTGTCATAGCAACACACTCAGCACCTCACTGCTCTTGTGACACACTTGAATTCATTTGAGATCCGTCTCACCCGCTGTCTTCCCTTTCCTCCTCCCTAGGGTCCTCACGGACTGCCAGGTATCACCGGTCTGAACGGACGGTCAGGGAAAAGGGTGAGGCTGGGAATGGAGTCTTTTCTTCTTATTATAATCACGATAATCAACTAAACATTTAAAGAGCACCTTTGAAATACGAATTGATTTACAACTAAGTGAATAAACTAAACAGACAGATATACAAATACTGTGCAAAAAAAACAAGCAACACAACAAAGGAATACGTAAGTAACATGTATAAGATAACACGAAGTAAAAGTGACAGCTAGTTGAAGGCAATGCTGAATAAAATAAGTTGCTTTTCTCTCGTTATCCTTGTGTAGAGAATACATTGTATTGTTGGGTATAAATAAAAGCTAAGCTGCCAAATTTTGAACCAACAAAGAATTAGTCATTTAAGACAGCCCTAAACTACTTCACGCTTTGTAAACAAATCAATCCCAAAAGAAACTGGCAGCAGACTTTTTCATTATTGAAGTTTATCAAAGCATTGTTTTGGAAAACCGATGAAAAGAAAATTCAGTATTCTTGACATAAACACATTTTACAAGATGTTTTACGATCAGAGCAGCAATATCTCTAAAATTAATTTATATATAAATATATCAATCCATATGTTTTGTTATTGTTGTTGCCCAATATGAGAAATCAGACATTTGCCTCAGGGTGCTTCACAAAAAGTAAATAATGCAACACCAGTGAAATGAAGAAGTCATTATAGGGAAAGCAGATTGAGAGGCATTCAATAAATAAATAAAATATACAAATTATATTAAAGTATAACAAATATAAATACACCAAAGACAATTCAAATCCCAGATGTGGAAGAAGGAGGATTTTAAAGATCCACAAAAAGAAAAGTACGGCGACTGATCCAGACGCAGACATTAAACATGGCAATCTGCAACAATACTGTTTATAAATATAAGAAAGATATATTGTCCTTCTACAGAGTGGTGCTCTAACAGTCTCAGTAGCTCTTGTTACAGTCTCTAAGCTAAGATTCTACCTTGTGTAACGTGTGTTCATTAGGGGCAAGCGGGTACAGACGGCGGTCGAGGTGCGATCGGAGAGACCGGATCAAAGGTAAAGAAGACCTGATGTCACACTGTTCTCTTACCGCTCTGTCTTTTTAAATATGAACTAACATGTCTGTTTCTCTCAGGGGGACAGAGGGTTCGATGGCTTACCAGGTCTCCCTGGAAACCAAGGACATAAGGTAAGTCACCTGTCTGAATAAGTGATCAGCAGACAATGCATAACACACATAATATCAACTTCTGTGTGTGTGTGTGTGTGTGTGTGTGTGTGTGTGTGTGTGTGTGTGTGTGTGTGTGTGTGTGTGTGTGTGTGTGTGTGTGTGTGTGTGTGTGTGTGTGT